GAACCCCCCCTTCGAGAGTGCTTCCCACAACGAGACGTATCGGCGCATCGTCAAGGTGGGAGGCTAGCCCCGGGTGTGTGGTTGGGGTCTGTGCTGGCGCAGGGGCCAGGGGCAGGGAGTGGGCATATCGTGGTTGTGGGGCTTACGTCACTCGCCAAATAAAATGGGAAGTGAAGGGAAAGCAGCCAGGATGAAAGCTGGGGCCCTCCTTCTCCTTTACCTCTGCAGGTGGACCTGAAGATCCCCCCTTCCATGCCTGCAGGAGCCCAGGACCTTATCTCCAAGCTGCTCAAGCATAACCCCTCAGAACGCCTGCCACTGGCTCAGGTCGCAGCCCACCCTTGGGTCCGGGCCCACTCCCGGAGGGTGCTGCCCCCCTCTGCCCTTCAGTCTGTCCCCTGAACTGTCCCTGTTATTTTCTCAGTTGTGTCTGTATGTCTGTGTATGTGTAGTTAGGAGAAGGGGTCCCTGGCCTGTTCCCGCATCTGTCTTCTACCTCCTCTTTATCTAATAAAGGCTGAAGCTTTTTGTACTGATGAGTGTAGATGTTTACAGGCAGAAATTGCTGTGAAGGAAGCTGTCACCTGTGGGGAGGAGGCGGGGGAGTTGCCCATGCCGGGTGCCAGGACTGGCATTGCATCACTGCCCCTGGGAGCACCCTGCCCTCTCAGCTCTAACCCCCACCTGGTCAGCTCCACCCCACCCCCAAGTCTTTTCTTTCCCCTGCTCTGACTCCCAGACCTGGGGATGCTGGGGGCTTCAGCTCCACTCTGCTACGCCTGCACGCCAGCCATCTCTGCCCACCTTCTCTTACTACTTGCTCTTAGTTGACCTCTATTCTTTCCCTCTTCTGGTTCACTCCTGCTGACCCGGGAGCAATTGAACATTGTTGTACCCAGAAGTTGTTTGTTTTTCCGCTTTGATGAGGCTCTAGCACAGGAGTGAATAGAAGCAGTCATTGGTTCCTAACCTAAGGTTTAAGGTTTCACTGCTAGATACATGATGCTTGCTGTAGATTTTTAATACATGTCCTTTATCAGGTTGAGGAAGGCCTGGTCACTTCCTAGTTTGCTAAGGGTTTGGGCGTTTGTTTCGGGGTCAGCCGCAACAGCATGCGGGATCTTAGTTCCACGACCAGGGATCGAACCCGCGCCCCCTGCAGTGGAAGCGTGGAGTCTGTTGGGGTTTTTCTGAATCAAAAATAGGTGTTGACTTTCACCTAATGCTTTTTCTGCATCTGTTGATTATTTGCTCTTTTAAGCCATGTGGTGAAGAACATCAATAAATGTTTTTATTTTCATCTCAGTTACTCATGCTATATTCAATTCCTAGGGTTGCTGTAACAAATTACCACAAACTCGGTGGTTTAAAACAGCAGAAATGTATTCTCTGACACTTCTGGAGGCCAGGAGTCCACAATCAAGTTGTCTGCAATGCCATGCTCCCCTCAAAGGCTCTAGGGGAAAGTCCTCCCTTGCCTCTTCCAGCTTCAGGTGACTCTGGGCACTTCGTGGCTTGTGGCTGCATCACTCCAGTCTCTTGCTGTGTCTTCACACAGCCTTCCTGTCTTCTCTCTTTTCTCCTCTGTGTCTTATAAGAACACTAGTCATTTGGTTTATGGCTCACCCAGATAATCCAGGATAATATTGTCTCACGATCCTTAATTACATCTGCAAAGACCCTTTTTTCCAAAAAAACATCGCATTCATAGGTTCCAGAGGTTAAGACACAGACATATCTTTTTTGGGGCTACCATGCAACCCACTACATATGCCCATAGATTAAAACAACTGAACGATGTTATAAGGCTTAAAAAAAGCCCAAAAAAACCCTAGAGTCTGCCCATTTCTCTCTCCCCACAGACAGCCTATTCCAAATCCTTTTATGGGTTTGTTTTGTTTTTGGTGTTTACCATGTATTTCCAAATCACAGGCTTCTGTTGCTACTTCTTAAGTTTTCAGTTTTAGGCTCTATCTATTGTTTTCCTGCTACAAAATGTACAGGTTTCATTCTTTCACTCCACTGCCACCATACACATGTGCATTTTCTGTCCCTACATCCTTCTGATGTAGTTATATCAAAATTTTGGTTAGATTTATTCGTTTGACAATAGTTATTGAGTGCTTTCCACAGTCCAGGCACTGTTCTAGAGGCAGGGGAGTGAATAAATAAGAAAGAAAAAAAAAAAATCCTCTGAGCTCAGGAAGGTTGCAAATCTAGAGGATCAATGTCAGTATCCAGTGTGTATGTTATGACCATGAGATGCCAGCCAAGCTGTCTCATGACATTCTATACCTTTCTTTTGGAATAGATGTCCCTGAAGTCAATAGCCTGTGTTATTTTCTTAGCCCCTCTGAACAGATCACACCTCCAAATTCTCCCCCAGCCTGAGCACTTAAAGGTATCAACATTCATCAGTTGGGCCTTCATTGCATCATATGGGCCTGAGATGGAGTATGAAAGGTAAAAAAAAGCCCATTCTTAGCTCATAGGCCATATAAAAATGGGTGGAGAGCTGGATTTAGCCCACAGGCCATATTTTGCTGACCCCTAATGTAGTGGACACTGTTTTGCTCCCCCATAGCCCCTCCTCCGTCCTCCATTGTGTCGCTGCTACTTCAGTTTGGAGGGAACTGACCCACCTCTAGCTCCAGGAGGGGCATAATTGTTCTAACCTAATCAGTCAATTCTTCAATCACCTTGCCAGAGTGATTGCTTCCAAATACGAAATCCTAAGTCAATAAGACATGGTATCACCCTGACCAAAGTGACTAAATTGGGCATGTGAACCAGTTTAGGCCAAGGAGATGTGACGAGAGATTAACGGGGGCTCCTGGGAAAGATGCATCGGAAGCTAGTCCTTCCTCCCCTTCTGGAAGGTATGGGAGTATATCAGCCAGGGCTTCTGGTTGCATGCAACAGAAAACAATTCAGGTTCATTTAAGCTGAAACAGACCTTATTATGAGCATCCTGGGTAATTCATGGAATCTCTAAAAGGACTAGGCTTGGAGTCTACACAGTCAGGAAAAATTCCACTGCAGAAGTGGTCCAGTAGACCATGGTGGAGCCTGAGCCATGTGCTAGGGAATCTGGGAAAGTGACTGCTTGGTATTCCAGCTTTTGTAGTGGGAGATGGGCTCTGCCTAATGAGGTGGGAGAGTCCTCAAACACTGGGATTCAGATCCTGGGAGGCCCAAGAGAATGACAAATGATCGCAGTTATGGACTGAATATTTTTGTCTCTCCAAAAATTCATATTTGAAGTTGAAGCCCCAACTCTCAATGTGATGGTATTTGGAGGTGGGACCTTTGGAGGTAATTAAGTTTAGATGAGGTCATGAGGGTGGGGTCCTCATGATGGGACTGGTGTCTTTATAAGAAAAGGCCAGAAAGCTAGCTCTCTCTCTCCATCATATAAGGAGACAAGAAGGTGGCCGTCTGCTAGCCAGGAAGAGAGACCTCACCAGGAGCAGAATCAGCTGTCACCTTGGACTTACAGCCTCCAGAACTGGGAGAAAAAGAAAAAAATTCTGTTAAGACACCCAGTTTATGATATTTTTTTATAGCAGTTCAAGCAGACAACTATAATTCCCAAAGAATGACAAATGACATAGTGCCACCATGAGGAAGCCCACTTGGGATAAAGCTACTCCCTTGGGAAGAAACCAGGCCCTTTATGACAGTGTTAGGGCACTGAATGCAGGCTTCTCTGACACCTTAAGACCATTATTGTATGACAATAAATTCCCCTTGTTTTTGTTTGTTTGCTTTTGTTGATTCAACTTGTGTTTTCTGTCACCTGCAGAATACAGAGCATCTGCTTGCTGAGGAGTAAAAGGAGGACAAGGGCGGGGGTGTCATTCCCAAAGAGAGGGGGAGAAGATTACAGTAGACCATTGGTCTCATGCTGTATTAGTCAGGGCTCTGGGTGCAAGTGATAGAAACACATCTTGAATGAGTTCAAGCCAAAAAGGGGAAATTAATGGCCTAGGGTCATTTAATTAATAAATATTTACTGAGCACCTACTATACGCTAGGTACTGTTCTAAGCACTGGGGCTACAAATGAGAACAAAACCGACATAAAGTCTTACCCTCATGGCACTTACATGAGCAAGTAAGCAAAATGTATAGTATGTCAGATGGTGATAAGTGCTCCGGAGAAGAGGTAGAGAAGGAAGATGGGGAATTGCTGGAGAAAGTGGCTGAAATTTTAAACAGACTGTAAGGGGAGGCCTCACTGAAAAGACAACATTTGAATAAGGACCTGAAGGAGAGAAGGGAAGGAGGAATATCCGAGGTGAAAATTTTTCTTGGTAGACCCAGCCTCAAAAAAAGGGGAGGGCGGGAGGGGAGTTGCAAGAGCAAGTGTAAAGCCCTGAGAGGGCAGCATGTCTGTCTTGTCACAGGAGCTGTGAGGAGGCCAGGGCGGCTACAGCAGGACCAGTGAGGGGAAGAGAAGGAAGAGATGAGATCAGAATGGTACCAGGGCTCTGAACTTCAGGGCCATTAATTTATTGAATATTTTACGTAGTGGCAAAATCACATACCATCCTCCAAGAGGAGAGAGACTCAGACCTGGAGGGGACAGGAGACAGAGAACAGAGTGCCAAATACACAGGAAAGCCCTTAAAAGCCCGCTTCGCTGTCCACTGTGAGTCGTTCTGGGCAATTCATCTGCTCGGTCTGTTAGCCGAGGACGATGGAACGAACCATTCAAGCTCTGCTGAGAATTCTGGTTTCATCCTTACTGATCCAATAGTTGCGGTTGAATCCCGACGGTCCAAGCAGGATATACTACTTCCATCCCCAAAACCTCCTAGGAACCCCAATTCTGGTCCGCACTATAAGTGTTTGTTAAGCAGCAATTGTGGGCGTGACAATTGTGGGCGGAAAGAGCCCTAGCCCCGCCCCCGGAGGACTCCGTTATTTCAGGATCTTCACCTTTAAGATCTGCCCCCTCAACTTTTTGAAAGGGCGGGGCGACGAGCGCAGCTGTCACCTCCTTCTTTCCACCCCGCTGGTTCTCACGTGCGTTCAGTCGTTCAATAACAGCTCCTCTCCTGGGACTTCCTGGTTGCCGGGGCCAATCAGAGTGTTCTTCCCGTCCTGACCATTGTGAGCCCAAGGCCAATCGGCGCGCCTCTACAACGCCCCTTAAAGGCGCCGCCAACGCCTCCTGAGCCGGGGCGAACCAATTCCTTGGCTCCTGCCCCCAACTGCAGTATGGAGTCGCCCCGGGGGCGGCCTGGGCCCAAAGCAGGCCTTCTAGCTCTGGGGGAACAGCAAGCCGCGATCTTCGGCGGCGGCCCGGGCCGAACGGCCTCTGAGCCGCCCTCAGGCCTCCGGTTGTCCGAGGAGGAAGAGGCCGAGAACGTTGGGGGCGCGAGCCGCCTCCCCAGGGCGTCCCCGAAGACTTCGAGCTGCAGCTTCGTCCACCCGCCGGAATGGGAGGCTCCGGAGGAAGAGCCGGGCCGCGGAGGGACGCCTTCTGGGGCAGGGAGCAACCGGGGTGCGCCGGGTCCCGAAAACGACCCGTATGCGTCCTCCCGGCGCAAGGACCCTGAGGACAGGCCTGCATCCGAGGGCGTCTGCCGTCGAGGGAGCCCTGGAGGCGGCGGGTTGGATGTTGAGCAGGAGAAGGAAGACGACGACGAGGCGGCGGCAGACAGCAGGGCTGGCCGTTCCTTCTCCAGCCGCCTTCAGGACAGCCGCAGCCTGGACGGGTTGAGCGGGGCGTGCGGCGGCGCCGGGTCCTCAGGGGGTGCAGAGTGTGGCGCGGGCGGCGGGCGGCGCGCCACTATATCCAGCCCCCTGGAGCTCGAGGGCACGGTGAGCCGCCACGGCGACCTCACCCACTTTGTCGCCAACAACCTGCAACTCAAGATCCGCCTGAGCGGCGCCCCTCAACCCCCGCCCCCTGCCCCTGCGCGGCCCTGTTCGGCGCCCCCACCCACTCCGGCCATTCCTCCCATCGACCCCGACGTGCTGCGGGACCTGGAGAGGCTGAGTAGGGAGCTGGGCGGCAGGGTGGACCGTCTGCTTCGCGGGCTGGGTGGTGCGGTGCAGGAGCTGACAGCGCTGAGCGTGGGCTGCATCCAGACCTACCGTGATGCCGTGGACTCCCTAGGCGAAGCTGTGGACATGAGCATCAAGGGCATGTACACCTTGCTGGCACGCTGTGAGGAGCTGGAGAGGGCTCTGCAGCCAGTTCAGGGACTGGCGCGCCAAGTCCGGGATATCCGACGCACCCTGGAGGTGTTGGAGGCCCTGTGCAAGTGACCGGGAGGGCAGGAGAGGCCTGGCAACGCCAGGGTCCAGCAGGATCCTAAGGACTCTTCAGGGAGCCCTGGTGGGACCTGCCCACTGAGGGGAGGCCTGTATATTGGAGGCTCTTCCAGATACATTTAGTAGGCCCGCGACCACTACCTGGGCCTTATGCAGGTGTACACGGGGAAGTTCTAAAGCCTCTCCTGGTGGGTGGGGTTGATGCTCTGCTTCTATTCAGTTGGCCATCTGCAGCTACCTTGTTCTCCCAACTCTCTTCCCTAGTTAGAGCACCATCTCTGGGAAGCCAGGGCTTTAGGTCTGGGCTTGGGAGACATGACTGCCATATGTTCTCAAGAAAGGAGAACAGGGGAGGCTCCAGCCCCACTGTGGCCACCCTGACCTCCAGTGGTCACATCTCAGGTGCCAGGGGCTGTGGGAGCTTGAGGGGTCCTTGGCCACACACCGTGCAGACAAGGATGCACACTTGCAGATGGATAACCCCCTGCTTCTGCCCTCTGGCCCCCTGCCCTCGCACTTCCCCAGCCATAACCTGGGTGGAGCTAGAAGGAATGTATTGCATGGTAGAGGGGGTGAGTTGGGAGGGGTCTCACTGCTCTCAGGGTTCAGACAGAATTGTTGCTGGGTTTGAAGCCCACCTGTTGTGGAGTGTTCTAATCAGTTTTGGCTTTCTGAGTTTTTGTGGAATTAAAGTGCTGCTGCTGCTAAGGGTGAGACTCTGTCTGTGTGGGGTTAAGGGATTGATGAGCCAAAGGTATGGGCATGAAGGTCAGTCTTTCCGTGGAGTTTTCTTGGGGCCGGTGCTGCGAGTGGGGTGGGGGTCCCAGGCCACATGGGGAAGGATATGGTTCCTGCTCCTGAACAGCAGAACGGAGGGGAAATGTAAGACACAGATCTGGGCTCAGAGACCCAGTAAAAGCAGAATCAGAAGCAAGGTGATCCAGAAGAGAAAGGGAAAGGGCCATCTTCTCAGTTCCTGGGCAAACTGGACATCTTGGCTCTGGAAAGAGTGGAAACACTTGCTAACTCCTTTCTTGACCCCATTTCTCACACTCTGCTGATCAGTGCCATATGTATGGTCTGAAACAATCTTTGTTACAATCCCGGACAGCCTTCCATTTACCGTCACATAGTAAATTCCAGGAGCCCCCCGTTATGGTCAGGAGATTTGGAAACAGAGATCACAGAAAGAGATCCAGTTTCCTTAAACTTTTCTGCTCTCTCAAGACACTACGACTCGGAAAGAATTTAAGCACGTTTCTCTTTGGGGTGTGAAAAGTTCCGGTATTAGAAATGCTCCACAAGCCTTCCCTAAGCAACAAGAAATTAGCAGTACACATTTTTAAAATGTTACGTTACTGGCCCGTACGGGGATCGAACCCGCGACCTTGGCGTTATTAGCACCACGCTCTAACCAACTGAGCTAACCGGCCAGCTGACAATGGCCTCCAAAAAATGAATCTATGTAAAATACAAATTACTGATCAGTCCTCTCTTCAGGAAAATTTTAAAATGGGTAAGATTGTTTGGGAAGACAGGAAAACAGAATACGAAAACGGAATCACTTATCGTTTCAGGAAGCAACATCCAAGCCAAAACACTGACAAGCACAATAATGCCACTATGGTGCTTGGCGGCAGATCGAGGTGCAAACATACAGCTTAAGACTGACGACATGCACGTAGCGTTGACGCACACAACCGGAAATAGAAAAGGCCGCCTGATAGCAACTAGCAGATTCCCAAAGAGATGTGGAAAATTATGTATATAAGCGCCAAATGCCCACAGCTCTTTCCTTGCGGTGTTTGCAAAAGGTAACTGACACCTTCGGAGGCACCGCTGGGATTCGAACCCAGGATCTCCTGTTTACTAGACAGGCGCTTTAACCAGCTAAGCCACGGCGCCCGAGTTATATATTTTTCTATCTCGTTTCCCTGGCCAGGTCAGTTCTATGACAGGTGACTGAATGCCAGGGTGCCTTCCTCACCAACCTTTGGCCGTACTGGAAAACAGGGTAGAAGGGACGAAATCCGCGGCCGCAACCGAGAGAGGGTGAAGGGGCGACACAGAAATTGAATCCTGGCAGACCGAAGGTAAGAAGAGAAATTCTTGGATTATAAAAATCGAAGGCAGGCCACAGCAACCGCAAACCGACGAGGATGGGATTCGAACCCACGCGTGCAGAGCACAATGGATTAGCAGTCCATCGCCTTAACCACTCGGCCACCTCGTCAACGAAAAAGTTACTTAGGATCTCCTCTCTGGGGTCTGGACTCTTCTCAGAGTAAGCGTGAGCCCAACTACGTCGCGAAGGGAGGTGCGTCCCGAGAAATCTCGCCCAGCGGCTCGCAGAGCTCTGGTTACCGAGCGACCTTCTAGCTTGCGCCAGCGCCAGACCCTCTGGGTTGAGCGGTACAGAGCGTGCGTCAGTCCTCAGGAGACCCGCTATCGGCCCAGATTTACAGTACCCGGATCTACCACAAAAACTACCGCGACATCATTGCGCTCCCCCGACGGGGCGACTTCGAGCCGGGACCCTCCCCTTCCGGCCCCTAGGAAGAGCTTCTTTTCTGACTTGCGCAATGGGGCTCCAACCGGGTTGAAAATGAGAATAAAGAAAAGTGAGCAGAACTTTACAAAGAGGGAAGCTGACCCCGACGTGATTTGAACACGCAACCTTCTGATCTGGAGTCAGACGCGCTACCGTTGCGCCACGAGGTCCGCCGCGCATGTAGCTGGGCATGTCCCCTTATGACCATTGGACGGTCAGGCTGACGGGTCCCGACGATCGAGGCGCAAGAGCCGAGGGCCTTCCGAAACTTCTAAAATCCCGCGGCGTGGTGCCTGCGCTCTCCCTCCAGCATCGTGGGACCCGCAGGGCCCGCCGCACCCCGCAGGGCACGGCTTTGCGGCCTCCCGGCCTCCTGCCGACCAGCAGGCGGCCCAGAGCTGGTTCCCTGGGGGACCCAGAGCTCACAGTCCAGCGGGGACGGACTGGCACAGAAACTTGTGGAAGGACGGATACCAGGCGGAATGTGGTGGAGCAGTGCCAGAGCTCCGGGCGCGTAGGGTTAAGAGATTAGCTCCCCCAGCGGCGGTCTCCTCCCGGGCTGCACACTACAGTCGCCTGCGGGACCTTCCAGATAGCCAAGCACAGGCCCCAGATTTGGAGATTCTGATTCAAAGGTCCAGGGTAGAACCCCGGCATCGATAACTGTCAATTTTGACAATTCCGAGGAATCATTTACCTACAATGAAATGCACAGATCTTAAGTGTTTATTTTGGTGAGTTTTGACAAAGAACAAAGAAAGAAGACCTTTCCTTCACCCTAGAAGGTTCTATCATGTCCCTTCCCAATCAATCCCCGCTGCTCCCTTCCCAGAGGCAACCACTGTTCTGATTTCCATCGCCATAAATGTAGGTATCTTTTGAAGCTCCCCAGGTGAGCCAGAGCTGGGAACTTCTGAAGAGTGATACCAGAAGCTTGCAGAGACCCCCCATTTGCTTCTTGAAGGGTAAGAGGAGTTCAAGGGGCCAATATGGTGAAAGAAGTCAGGCTGTGTCTCACTCCTTCCAAGCCAAATGCCTGCACTTTTTGCATAAGGGCCATCCCGAAAGTTATCAGGGACCAGGGACAAGTCAAAGCCCGCTGAGGAGCTGGCCTTAATTGACTTGGCAACATCTTTTAAGAGCCTTCTCCCTTGGTTGTCAGGACACTGCTGTCTGCTGACCTTCCCCTAGCCTCTCGCCCTCCCCCCTAGTCTCTTTTTCTGTCCTTTTTGCTAGGAGTTTTGTCTTGTGTCCTCATGCTACACACCTTCCCTGGAGTCAGCCATCACCCGTGTGCTGAGGACTCCTGAATCCCACTCCCAATCCCAATGAAGCCTCTGGATTCAGATGTCTAGGGCCTGCTGGACACCTTCACTTGACCCTGTCATCCTTCTGAAACCCCGCACCTTGGGTGAGACTGGAATCCAGTCGCACCTCAGATGGGACTCAAATCCACAATCTCTCGCTTAGGAGGGGACTCAAACCCATAGTCTCCCAGCTGAAACTGCACACTTCCTCTCAGGACTTACGAAGCACCTGTGGGTGTTATTTAGCGTATGCTAGTGTATTACAGTGAGCCTATAATGAGGCTCAAGGTCTTCTGGAAGTGGAATCTTCTGCCATCCTGGACCTAGTTGGTTCTAACCATTTTATGTCGTATCCTCAACGACTATGTCATTCTTTTTTATTTATTTATTTATTTATTTATTTATTTATTTATTTATTTCTGGCTGTGTTGGGTCTTCGTTTCTGTGCGAGGCCTTTCTCCAGTTGCGGCAAGTGGGGGCCACTCTTCATCGCGGTGCGCGGGCCTCTCACTATCGCGGCCTCTCTTGTTGCGGAGCATAGGCTCCAGACGCGCAGGCTCAGTAGTCGTGGCTCACGGGCCTAGTTGCTCCGTTGCATGTGGGATCTTCCCAGACCAGGGCTCAAACCCGTGTCCCCTGAATCGGCAGGCAGATTCTCAGCCACTGCGCCACCAGGGAAGCCCTATGTCATTCTTTTAACGGTTGTGCCCTGCCCCCTTCCCTCCTGTTTCACCATCACCTTCGGGTTCAAATACTACTTTATTGGCTGGACCCCCAAGGCCAGGTGCTTCTTAAGCATGTGGGTCCCGGAACCAGGCTGCCAGCGTTCATAATCAGGCTTTGCTAATACTAGTTGTGTAACTTGAGCTTGTTATTGAACCTCTCTGTATTTCAATGTCCCTACCTGTAAAATAGTAAAGATTAAAATAGTAAAGATTATAGTAGATAATTATTAGAACATGGCTGGTAATCACCACTCAATTATTATGGTTGCTGTTATCATAACTCTCTAGTCCTTGCATGATTCTTCAGCCACTGCCTCCTCCCGTCCCGTGTGACAACGCTGCTGCCTTATTTACAGTCGCCTAAACTCACCTTGGTCACAGCTGTCTCTGTGTCACTGTCCCTGGTATTGCTTGATGGTCTTTCTGAAATGGAGCAGGACCCTGTGGGGCCCTCCTGGGCACAAATTTTCCTTGTGCCCTGTTTCCCCATTAGCAGGAAATAGGCTTCATTCAACCTCCCTGACCTTCCCTGGGTACCAAAAGGGCAGATTCTAATAGTTGCTAATCAAGGAAGGGAGGGAATGTAGAAACAAAGGAGGAGCAGTCAAGAAACAATAGTGCAGCAGCATGGGGCAGGGTCCTGATTCCTCCTCAAGGAAAGTATATAACAGTATATCTTTGAGCTCATCTGAAGGAAAAAAGACCCCCACCCAGATGGAGGATGGTAACTTCAGGCTGAGCACAATATTACTGGAACACCGCCCTGTTACCTTACCACCAACGAATCAGAAGAAAGTCTGAACACAGTGGAAGATAACAAAGACTACGACCCCCTCCCCTAATGATTACCTGCAATTAGCTTTCCCTATCTCCCTTTAAAAACTTTCATGGTCCAGCAGAATCTTCAGAGTTGGTTCTTGGACGTGAGTCCGCCTTCTCCCCAGGTTGCCGATCTCCTGAATAAAGCAAGCTTTCCTTTCCAGCCAACACTTGTCTCTCAAGTATTGGCTTTAGCCAAACCTGAGTTCGGCAATATTCTCAGTCCTTCTTTACCTGGCTGACCCTTATGTACCCCTCCAGACTCAACTGAGAAGCTCTCTCTTCCCCAATTCTTCCCCCACCTGGGGAAGGAGGT